AAGGGACTACATGAATAAAAGATGCAAAGGAGGTCGGAAGTTGATTAAGTTGTCTCCTAATGTAAAAACAGCTATGATTAATGGGAAGTAAGTCTAATGATTTTTTGTTGATTTTTTGTTCATGTTTGATCTAAAGAAAAAATGAAGTTTACATAATCAAAATTACTCAATAGTAATATTTGTAGCCTTGCTTTTTTATATATATATATATAGCAGTGAATGTTGATCATTTGTAAGTGCAAGTCAAATGTTTAGGGTTATTTCTATAGAATATTTTAAACCATTTTTTATTGTTTCAGACTTAGTCGTTCGTTTTGGACACGATTCCATGCAAAGCATTCATTTTCCTCGGATGGAATAACAAGCCAGATGACACCACAAGTTGCTGTAGAAAAAATCAGTCACCTCCTTGTTACAACATCTGAAAATGGGATTTCAGATAATGACACTTTTAAGGCGGCTTGCCAAGAGTTTGATGATTACCTTACTGAGAAGGCAATAGAACGACCTGTTGTTTTATTATCTGATGGACATAGTTCACGATTCACTTATGACGGTTTAATATACCTCCTTTCAAAACAAATTTGGTTATTTATTTCTCCTCCCGACACTACTGATGTAACTCAGTTGCTTGACCAGGTTAATAAAAATCTTCATCATGAGTACAGAATTGCCAAGAATTATCTTTTCAACCCAATGCCATCAATTAATCGAGAGGGATTTATGACCATCTTAGGCAATATATATGGGAGAAATGGAGATCGAAATCGGTTCTTGTTTCTAGTGCAAAAAGAGTTGGAATAACACCTTTTGAATTAAATGTTAATTTTATGCAACAAGATAAATTTGAGCGAGCTGCTGCATGCATTCATAAAGAAGAATCAGCGTCAACTTCTTTTAAAAAACCTGAATCAACCATTTTGTCACCAGTTGGTATAAGGAAAGGTTCAGCAAGTTACTGGAAAGATAAGTTTGACCAGCCTCAAATCTTGATTAGAGAAATGGCTGAGCAAAGCCTCCAATTAGAAAATATTCCTGATCTGCTAACTATTAAGAAAATTAAACCAAACCTTGAAAAAATATCTACTCGTGTTACTCAGGTTTATGGTTCGATACGTGCAAAAGATGTTGCAGCAAAAGTGAAAGATATAAAAGAAGAGAAACGACGAAAGATAACAACAAAGGAGAAAGCCAAAAAAAAAGAATGAAGAAGCTAAAGAAAAGTTTATTAAATGTAAAGTTGAATGTTTTTGCAAACAGAGGAAATGTCAAGCTTTTGGCCTAAAGCAATGTCCTAATTGTCTTGATGTTCTCCGTTCAATTTGCAGCAAAGTGAGTTGCAGAGTTGATGGTGTTAAACCGGTTATGCTTTTACCAGCAAACCAGCACTTCTCCACATCTAAAAGACTGATATACGACCATTATAACGAATGCAACGACAATCAATAATCTTTTTTTGAATTAAAGTAATCAGTTAAAGTATTTTATTTATCTATGCTATCTTAACATTTTATTTATCTATGTTATCTTAACATTGTTGCAGTAACCTATAGTTATAATAATGTTATAAAGTTTGCAGCCATTTTAGATGTGTTATTACTGCTGCGTTCAGATATTGTTTTTAAGATAAACGTATATTATTTTCTTTTAAAAAAATCTAATACAATGGTAATTTATTGTTGTTGTTTTTTATTTCAAGACATGGTCTGCAAAGTGAATTCTATAAAATGTACCCCAAAAACAACAATAATACTTCCTTTCTTTATGAGGGTGTTATAAAGATTTATAATTACTTGAGAAAAAAAAACTTTTTTCAGTATTTAGTTATAATTCATAGGTAATAGGAAAACTATATTTTGCTAACTTATTCTCTGATACGGCTTCTAGGCTCCACAAAACAAAAAAAACAACACGTTTTTATAATTGAAATTTTTACTCTAGTGCAGATAGCAACATATTTAACAAATAAAAAACCCACTAAAACTGCTTTAATTTATATGCTGGCATATTAGCTATTATAATATATCAAGTTTTTTGAATCCTGACTTTTTTTTTACATGCTAGGTCACTTAAGCCAACATTGTGGTTTTTGCGGTACGGTTGTTTTTGCGGTACGTATACCTGTAGATTATTACACACAAAAAATCAAAAGAAAATATAAACAATAAAAATCAAAAGAAACTGTCAACAACAAAAGTCAAAAGGAAAATGTCAACAATAAAGCAAAACAGAAACTAAAAGTTTTACAATTATTTATGTTTTTAGAATGATGTAATACTATAATTAAGAATTTAAAATAAAAATAGTAATACCAAATCATATTTTGTATCTTATGCTAAATATTTATATTTATTACCAAGAAGTTTCCTACAAATTATTTTATATAGTTTTTATAAAACGTTAGTTCTACAAATTTACATTATATATATATATATATATATATATATATATATATATATATATATATATATATATATATATATATATATATATATATATATATATATATATATATATATATATATATATATATATATATATATATATATATATACTTACAAATTTATACTTAAATATATACTTACAAATTTATACTTAAATAAATTCGAAAACCCCCATATAGTAAAAATATTTCTACCAAAATTGGTAAAATCTTTTGGAATCTAATTGGCAAATACTTCTCAGTTGGTCATAAATACCACAATATTTCTGATAGAAATACTCTAAAGGTGAGTTACAGTTGTTTGCCAAACATAAAATCAATTGTTATCTCTCAAAACCATCATATAATGAAAAACAGTACTTCAGATTCCAATAAACATTGCCATTTTATTATTAAAAACAAGGGCTCTTTAAATCAACAGTGTCTTGTAAAGTGTTTTGGAGTTAGTGAAACCGCATATAAACTTACGCCAACGATAAAAAATCTTTTAATATCGAAATATATAAAAACGACACTGAATTATTTAAGGAAGTATTTAGATTTAAAAAAAATGAAGTAAACTCGACAATTGAATGGAAAGCTGTAAAATGTTGTAAATCCTTCAATCTTATGCAATCTATATCTATATGAAATGTATGTCTTCTTATTTAATAAGTTCATTAATCATAACTTGTTAAATAAGAGGAATGAATTAGTATCTAAATGTAGATATAAAAGTAATTTTCTTCTTGCAAAATTTGATAAGTTTTTTTTTGTTTCATTTGTATAAAATGGGGGTCATCCATAAAGGACGTCATGCTAAGTTTAACTAATGGCATGAAATAGGAGAATTTTGGCCCTTATGCTTAGAGATTTTTTGAGTTTTATAGCGCCTTGTGTTCAATAAAAATCTCCGCGGAAAAGGGCCAATAAATTTCTACTTCTGGTTAGTATTTAAATTCTGAATGGTGTCCTTTATAGACGATGCCATGGCTGACGATTTCTTTTAGGTATGAAACTATTAGTGCCGTAAAAAATTGTATCTTTTTCGTTTATATATTTATATATATGCGTATATGTGTATACGGATGTTTTATCGCCAATCTTGGTTTTTAGTAAATTTATTTGAATTGTTTAAAATGAGTTAATCTTATTACTTGCATCTCGTAAATAAGTAGTGTGACTTTTTAGTCGTTTATGGATTTAACAGTTTTTTCTCTTTTACAATATATTAATTGATAACTGATTTATAAGCAAATGAATCGCCTTGCAAATTTAAACAAGCTAAAATTGAATTTTTGCTCGACGCCTACTGTTTTTTTTGTGTTTGTTTTTTTGTTTTGTTATTTGCTAAATTGATTTGTCTCAGTTGTGTCTGTCGCTGGTTCCAACAGTGTTCTTTATTTTCAAATTTCCCAACAATTGGTCGCATTTTTTGAAATATTTCTAAATTACCTTAATCTATGTTATCTAAATGGTTTGGATATTTAAGTGTATTACCACGATGAGTTGTTGAAGTTGACGGTATTTCCACAATCTATTGCAATGAATGCCACAATGAAGCTCAAGTTCAATATTATTTGTAATTGTTTTATCAACTGCAAAAAGTTGATTATAAACGTAATAAATAATGTCAGCACAACAATGTCGGTACTACACTGTCGACACAACAATGCCAGTACAACAATGTCGGTACATTCATTACTAAGCTTTTAACAAATATTTTACAATTATTCTTCTGAAGACCATCTCAAGAAAGTGTTGTAAAGTTTAGTTATATGATGCGCAATATTAACAAATACTTATAAATAAAAAATACGAAAAAATTAAATCTGAAGTTAAAAATAAATATGAAACCAAAATAGCATGCAGTGCTATTTAAAGCATGGTTGATTAATTTATCAATTAAAAACAGCAGGCCAGGTTCTTAGAGAGATTTCTAGTTATTCGTTATAGTTTTAAAAGCAGCCGTGGCGCCGCTTGCCTCGTAAGAACGTAAGATCCTTGGTTCAAGCCCCACCTCTGGGCAAGTTTTGCGACATCGGTTGGGAAGGAGGCGTGAACTTCCTATTAAATGCTCTTCCGCGGTGCTCTGTGATAAGACCGTAAGGACTTCTTGGGGCACCTAAATCAACTTAAAATAAAAAAATAATAAAAAAAAAATAGTTTTGAAAAGCAAAGCAAAGAGGTATTAACTGTTTTTCTCAACTACTTACTATTTACAAATTTTGTTTGACCGAAAAAAAGCCGGAAAAAAAAATAATTTTGCAAAAATCAAGGTTTGTAGTTTGAAGGGGCGTCTGGAAACGGCGTGCGCTTTTTAAAACACACAAACATAAAAGATTTTATGACTTATTGTTTTAATGGCCGACGACACGGGTTTCAAAGTGAGAGGGCACAATCACAAGTTTCTAAAATAAGTCCTCTATATCTCAAATTTTCTTTAAAAAAAAAGTCCTCTAAAAAAAAGTGGGAGGCTCGTGCCCCCGGTCCCCCGGTGTTATTGGCCCTGTGTATTTATATTAGTTCAAACTAAAATTACCAATTAAAGGAATAGAGTTTATTATTATATATGTGTATTTATTCATTTTATTTTTTTACAATGTTATAAATTATTTTTTTATAAAAAGTCTTTTATATAAATTAAAGATTAATTATTTCTATAAACAAAATTTATTAAAAAAAAAAAAAATGTGCGAACTGTTTGCAGTTTGCATTGACTTCACAAATCTCACCTAGTAATATAATCCGTATAGTTTGTTCGCAAACGCGCAGGATCAATAGTTTGAAATATGTCTTCATCCATTTCTCTGTTAACTCGGTTCTACACACAAAAAAGAAAAATTATGCTATAGTTTAATAAAATTTTTTACATAAATTTTACAGTTAAATGTATTGTGATAAATAAATAGTAGGTTTGTATAAATTTATTTGAAAAATACGCTAAAATTTGTTTTTTATCTTTTTCGTAACTTTGTAAGGTTATAGAAAGCTGGAGACTTTGTAAGGTTATAGAAAGCTGAAGACTTTGTAAGGTTATAGAAAGCTCAAGTTTTTAGATGCTATAAATTATCTTAGTTGAAAAAATCTTTTTTTGTTGAATACATTTTGAACTTTTTTTTATAGGTTTAATTTTATATAGTCAAAGAGTCGGGGATGCCATCCAGAATTATTGTTGTTTCAGATACGACATTTTCAGCTAATGTGAAAACTCCAAAATTGAGTATTTTTATGCTTTTAATAAATAAGAATTACAAAAAGTTGAGATTATATCATATAATATATGAAATTAGGAGTAAAAATATCCCCAAATTTTAGTCACTTTAACCCCAAATATGAAAAATATTGATATATATATATATATATATATATATATATATATATATATATATATATATATATATATATATATATATATATATATATATATATATATATATATATATATATATATATATATATATATATATATATATATTGAATATAATGAAACTCTATAGATTTTATTGAATAAGATCAAACAAATCTAATTATAAATAAGTGTGTTAGCTTTTGTAACGATTAGGTTAATTTTCTTTAGTACAAAAGAAAAAACAAAAGCGTTAATTTTGTCTTTTTACAATAAACCTATTATTTCTTTAATTTTTTTTAAGGGGAATTTTGAATGAAAGCGTTTTTCGATCATTAATATTTTATATATATATAATAACAGAATTAGTTTTTAAAATAAAATTTGTATTGTCAATTAAAAATAGCGGCGAGGAGCATTTTTAAGAATAGCATTACATTTTACGCCACTTATTTGAAATATCCTTAAACTTCATTCATGAACCCTATATGCAGCATTTTTTGAATACTGTATGATTTTTTCTCGTTTTTATCTACAGTTGTTTAGCCAAAATAATGAGCATGTTTTTCTTTGTTGTTAAAAACATGGCGTTCGTAGAACTTTTTGGAAGAGAAACAAATGTTATAACTTTTTTATCCAACCCAACAGATTGTAGTAACTTCCATGTGGACAAAATATGTTGTTTCTAAATTTCTCTAATAAGAAAAGTAATTATTGTTTTTTTTTTTTTTTTTTAATGAAAATTCAAAGACCAAAATTCTCTTTGATAAGGTTCGGCAATCATTAACTTTAAAGCTACTGTGATTATTTTAAAATTAAATTCTAATTCAGTTACCGAAATCGAAATCAACGTGCTTTTAGACATTGGAAGTTTTAACTTTTTTTTTCATTTTATAAAATGTTAGTTCAAAAATTTTTTTCAAGTTTCGAATTACAATCAAACTTGAGCATTTCAATTTTGTTTGATAACTGTATTTTTAACCCACTATAAAATAAAGCTATTTAGAAAAGTTATGACACATTCATTATACTCAGGTGTTATCTTCTAATAGTACGGCATTTAGGAGTTGCCTAATTTGTATACATGCTTGAGATGTAATCGCATTTTTTTCAAAAACAATTTTTTTGACTTAAAATTTACTCACCATAGCTTCAGTGTTCAGCCATGCATTCCCACCGTCTATGTCATCGAATGAAGACACTTGAGAAATATTTGCAACTAATTGCAGAGTTTGTTGAGAACAATTGTCAACTTGGAGTAAGTGTTGCAAATGATGAATATACTCTATTGCTAAACGAAGTGTTTTAACTTTAGATAGCTTTTTGTTTTTAGGATCAGTCGGAACATGTCTTCGCAATCTTAAAAAGCCATCATTAACCATTTTTACGCGTCTTCTTTCACGTGCATTTCTGCGTGCAACTGCCGCTGGTTCTTTAAGTTTAGCTGGCAAACGAGATTGAGCAGTACGTTTTCTGCCCCGTGAAGTTGCCATATTATGGCTGTCACTCTCTGAGTTACCTGATTCTTTAGATTTAGAAGGGTTTGGTTTTGCTTGTGGTGTAGTAACAAATATATTTTTAAAAGAATCACCAACACCTGTAGTAGTTGGCTGAGTGTTGTAAATGGGTATTGCAAGGTTCGGTGCAAGTAATGGATTGGATAAACTGAAAACTGGAGCAAATGTTTTTGTAATGTTGTTATCGCTTTGTGAACTTGTTGTTAAAAATGGAAACTTTGGTGAGAATATGTTTTCTTCTTTGCTCGTTGCAGATGAACACAGTTGACTTGCAGATGGCGTCGCAGCTGCAGCTATAAGATGTTCCTCGTCTTTATCTTTTTTAGTTTCTTGTTTGTTTGTAACGGATGAAGAAGTAATGTCTGTCAAAAATATTGAGTAATTTATTGTAGATGTTGTGATTAACTGACCGTTGGACGTCGTAAGAAAAATCGCGTCTGGTAAACAATTCGAGTGGTAACTAATCGTTGTCGGTAAAAACGTTTCAAAAACCTCGGGCTTTAAATTTTCATTTTTAATTTCAAGTTCCACTTTCTTTTTTGTTTCTTCATTGCTTGTATTTTTTAGTCCTTTTTTATCGGTCATATTTGGAGTCATAACCACCATGTATTTTCTTGAGTTTTCAAACTTTATTTTTATTTCGTTCGGAAGAGCAACTCAGTTTTCTTAAATTGCATTATGGGACTAGTTTAATAAAATTTAACGCGCTTTTTTATTCCTTTTATTTGAGTTAAATTAACAATAAAAACGTTGTTATATTTAAAATAAAGACCAGAACTTTTTCATAGAATTTTTCTTTTGTGAAATTTTTTGTCATTAATAAAATATGAGAGAAAGAAAAACAAAATTAATTTTAAAAACAAAGAGAACGAGATTCTCATCAAAAATAATGTAAATCTTATATTGATTTGCACTATTTATAATGAAGTAAAAAAATATTTGTCTTTCTAATATTTTTCGTATCGGAAAAATCTTCTATCTTCCCTCAATATCGCTGAACTCGAAATCAAAACAAGCATATGCGAGAAAGCCTGATATTTTCTTTTATCAAATAGGTCACTTCTGGTCGACTTCATCTGACATATGGCACCATATGAATACAATCTTCTAGTTATCTTGAAACTTTTTCTTGATTAAGTCATCCAGTGCGTCAAAAAAAAACTTGTTAATTTTATTCTATCGCTAACTTTTTCAAGTTAAAAATATTTGATTTTCCAAGTTTGCATAAGCAAACTAATTAGAAATTGTTGGCAAACTTAAAAACTTTTTGTGTAGTCAATTTATGTGTTGCCCCCTATTGTCAAACTATGTGTGGCACAATATATTTGCTGAAGAAATTATTCCTTTCGCGCATTATAAGGAAGCACAAAATTTTAAAGATTGAGTATAAATATAGTCTTAAACGTCTAAAAGATCTTTAGTTATAAACTTTTTTTATTCCACCTAAAATAAGTTGTTATTCGTGCTTCCTTTTTTGTAAGTTTTTTTTTTTTTTGCCTTTAAAAAGTCTTCTTTTAAAAGGGTTTTTTTTTTTTTTTGCCTCTTCTCTTGCGAGGTTTGGGATGAATGACTTTATTGTAGAAAACTTGTCATATTGTCTTGTACAAATAAATTAAGTTTTAGAAAAATTCTGATTAAATATTTTATATTGTTGAATGACTTGTTGAATGGTCTACTGCTGCAACAGAACAGATATTGCCAGTATTTTAGCTGAACTTAGAAGATGAAGAATTGAAAGTCCAACGTAGCGTTTTTAATTTAAATCCAGTAAACCAATAGGAGGCTTAATTGATTTTAAGAAAATTTATTATTATAAACAAAAAATATAAATTCACCATTATCAAAAAGTACTACTATGAAAAGTTACCTATAAAAAGTTTTATTATATTACTTTGAACAAAAGTTGTCCTCCTGGATCATTCAACATTAGGGTTCAGGTTAAGTGAGACCTGCAAAGAGTTGACGTTAAAAAATCAAAGTTAAAGAATCGTTAACTATAAGTATATAAGTAAAAAAAATAAAGTTTAAAAAAAAATTAAATCTAAAGGTTGAAGTTTTATTTTTATTAATTTTAAAGTTTCAAATCAAAAATTTATTAATAGCTGTTTAAATATTTTTTTAATGATAATAATCGGCCATCCCCTAAGACTAGACGTACCGGTATTTTCTGGAGCTAACTTTTTGTGTGCGTGTGTGTATATATATATATATATATATATATATATATATATATATATATATATATTATATATATATATATATATATATATGAATCTGCTTGATATTTTTAGATAAGATTTTTAATCATGCACATTGGTATTTAAAGTATGAATAAGAATTATCAAGAACTTCATAAACTTATATCTTGATGAACAAGCAGCTGTGGTGTTGTGGTTAGAGTTCTGGCTTCAGAACCGGAGATCAATGGTTTGAAGTAGGCTCTGGCCATATGTGCACCATAGTTAAGGAAGGCGGCGTGAACTTCTTGGTTAAATGCTATTGAGCGGTGCTCTGTGAAAAAAAACCGTAAGGACTTCTTGGAGCACCTTAATAATTAAAAAAAAAAATAGTTTGTAACAATGCCCAGAAACTTTACATAAGCCCATAAAAATTATTCTAATTTTGACAAATTTTGTTTATTAAAAGCACGATCTTTGTGTGGGTGCAGAATATTTGCGTGGGTGATGGTGTGAGAATTTTCATTCACAACTGTTGATTTTATTTAATAAAATGAATCTCAACATAAACAAAACAAATTTTGAGTCGATATGAGTTAAAGTGATAAGCAAATTTACTTAAAAAATAGAGAATCAGGTGGTAGTTTAAAAACACTAAATCTTAGATTCCCACATTTGTAACCTAAAAATAGGCGGATCAATTTACTCAATCATTTTTTGAAAATTGAAGTTAAACATTTTATTAACACTCAAATATAACTTAGATTCAGTAATTAACAAAACAACAAGAGTAAAAACTCATCAACATTGATGGATAATGTAAAAACTAACAATTATCAATATCGCCTTAGAAGAGGTAACTGATGTCGAGGCAATGAGAGATAAAATGAGACCCGTTTAACTATCATTTTCCAATCATTTAAACTTCTGATAGCGTAACTCCTCATAACACTCCCTTTAAATTATCAGTATTCATCCGACAAGTCAATAAAAGCTCCATATGCCAGTTTAAAATTTTTTTCAAATATTATGTAGAATGGAATCTTATATAGCAATCACCCAAATAATGCTTATAGTCATCATGAACTATTTTTGTAAAGTATACGATAAATATTTTTTATTAAAATAATAAAACTGTATATAACTGTATATATTTACTGAAAACTATAAGTTATATTTTATATAAAACTGTAAATATAAAAAGTATAAATTTGAAATTTTTTTTGTGTTGAGTTGGAAAAAAATAAAAAGTTGGAATAACTCAAGTCCTACTTGAATCATCATAAAATAAAATTATGTTAAAAAATGTATACTAAGCGTATATACATATTTATACTTAGAGAATCAAAAGAACAAAATAATAATAAAAAGAACTTGTTGCTTGGGTAACAAAAGATTTTATTTTAAGGTTATTATTAGTTTTTACACCACTCCTTATTTTTAATTCGTATAAATATTTAGCATCAAAAATATTAAATGTTATGTTATTAGCAGATGAATCTAATCTATTTTATTCTCACAAAGATATTAAAATTATTGTCAAAATGTTTAATGAAGAATTTGATAAAATAAACGAGTGGTTTATTAGATACCGATATTCAATGAATTTAAAGGAAACTAAACTTATCCTTTTCCATAATCTATTGAACTCAACAATATTTTTTTAAATTATCAAATCTTTTAACCAATAAAATAACAATTAAAAAGAAACTTACCACATAATTTCTAGGAGTGATTTTAAATCTTATAATCTCTTCATATTTTGAATAAAAAAATCTTTAACTAAATTTTTGGCTAAACATAAACTCTGATCCCTGTGGGCGCAGAATGTCTGCTAGACGTTTCAAGGACGTGCTTGTAACGTTCCTTAGACGTCGCATTGATGTCCCACGTCTGTGTCCTCTGGAATATATTAAATTTCTAATATCTTTTTTAAAAATATTTGCAAAAGTTCAAATAAAAATAAACATTTCGATTTTAATAAACATCAACATCAGTTTCATTATATTTAAAAATTTATTTCATTATATTTAAACATCAGTCTTTAATATTTATTTATATTTCATTATATATTATATAATATTTTTAAGATTTTGGAATTTTTTTCTTCTTCACTTTTTCTGTTTGATTTTTTTTTTTTTTTCAATTTTTTACATTAAAAAAAAAGAGCTTTGTTTTATTGAATTTTTATTTCATTCAAAAAATTAAAATGTTTTTTTTTTTCATGAGTGACTAAAGGGGCTCTATGAAAAGCTTGAGGTGATCAACACATCATCCTTACCTTCTTTGAGTTCCTTACTGATTATAACAGTATATATATATACATATATATAAATATATATATATATTATATATATATATATATATATATATATATATATATATATATATATATATATATATATATATATATATATATATATATATATATATATATATATATATATATATATATATATATATATATATATATATATATATAAATTTTGTGATAGAGAATAGAATCCAGAGTAAGAAAGTGATGAGCTCGATAAAGAGAAGCGACTTTAGCAGATGCTAATTTTGCAACGGATTTGATATAAGGTTTCCAAGAAAGATCAGAAGTAAGAGTTAATCTTAGAAGATGAAGGGTTGGAGACTCATCGAGTACATTACCGTTCATAAATATAGGAAGGTTTAAATTATTGCGATAACGATTGGCTGAAAAAAATTGAGTTTTATCTGAATTAAAGTTCACCAGCCACTGTGAGCTTTAAAAAAAGTGTAATATATATATATATATATATATATATATATATACATATATATATAAATTTTATATATATATATAAATTTTGTGGGTTTTCACGATTATTTCTCTTTTATTCATTTGCATTTTTTAAATTATTCCATTAAAGATTATCAAAGTTAAAAAATTTGTAATTTTATTTCTTATTATCTTATTTCTTTTTAGGGAGCGTCCACAAATTACGGTCACGCAATTTTTGACCGTTTTACATCCCCTCGTTTCCCCTCGTCACAACATCGTAACTCTTTAGTTACAAGTTCCGTATGAGTCATTACAAAAGCATTACCCCTATCCCCTAAAGCATGACGTAATTTTGGAGGACTCCTTATTGCTCTTTATCTGCGTACGTTTTTTTTTTACATTTAAAAAATCATCAACGGTGGTTGGTAAAAAGGCTTTATAAGTATGATAAAAAATTGTTTTTAACTAGATTGTTGTTAAATTTTTTAAATTATAATTTTAACGAATTTTATTGTAATTTTAAAGACAAATAAAAAAAGCAAAACAAGACTTTTCAATAAATATCCTTTGGTTTAACTTGAGTAATTCACAATTAATAATTTGTTTATAAACTAATCTAATCTATTGTTATCGGACTTGAAAGAAACAAGTCAGGCTGTGTATTTAAGTACGCCATGGATGCCTAAACATTCTTAACTTAAACAAAGGTTTACATAATTCAGTCCCTCATTTTAAAACGATAAATGTTTCTTTTTACTTT